TCCCAAAATACTACCTTGAGGCACACCTGCTGTCATGGCTCTACATGTAGATTTACAATTGTATATACTAACATAAAATTTTCTATTAATTAAATAATTTCTAATTAGACAAATCACACCAAGTCAAGTATTTTACATTCGAAATCACTACATTATCATTTATCCTTTCAGATATCATCGACCCTGCGATTTTGCGACCGGGTCGTCTCGATCAGTTGATTTACATTCCATTGCCGGACGAGCAATCTCGTGCGGCTATTTTCAAGGCAAATCTACGCAAGAGTCCGGTGGCCGCCGATGTAGATTTAAATTATATAGCTAAAGTAACTCAAGGTATCATCATAATTGTTACATTCATAATTGTTAAAGAGAGATAATGTTGTTTTAATATTGTTAATTTTTTTTTTAGGATTTTCTGGTGCTGATTTGACCGAAGTTTGTCAACGGGCTTGCAAACTCGCCATTCGTCAGGCGATTGAATCCGAAATCAGACGCGAAAGGGAGCGAGCCGCCAATACTAATGTAGCCATGGACGTAAGTTGAATTTTTTTTATTTATAATAATTTCATTGGTAATTATTATTAATTTTTAATTTAGTATCAACAATTGCAATTAATATTTGGCAGTTTCTAATTATTTTTGGCAATTACAGTTAATTTTAAATAAATACGTTATATATTTGGTATTTTTCTAAAAAAAAAATGGCAATTTTGGTGGAAATGTTCTTGGATAATTTTTACCAATTTATTAGTTAATTTTAGTCAAATGTTGTTATTTTTTGGTAATTTCAGTAATTTTGGCTAGTTTTTGTCAATTTTGGGAATTTCGAAACATTTTTGGTAATTTTGAATAATTTTTGATACATTTGGCAAATTTTTGACAGTTTTAGAAATTGTGGATAGTTTTTAGCAATTTTTGAAATTATGAAACATTTTTGACAATTTGGAAATTTGGAAATTTGAAAATTTTGCTCCATACATATTTGGAAATTTGAAAATTTTGGATCGTTTTGGTTTGATTTTGGATAATTTTTGGCTATTTCAGTAATTCTGGTTAATTTTGGATAATTTTCAGCTATTTCAGTAATTCTGATTAATTTTGGATAGATTTTGTCAACTTTGGGAATTTCGAAACATTTTTGGTAATTCTGGATCATTTTTAGTAATTTTGGCAATTCTAGAAATTTTGGATAATTTTTAGCAATGTTTGGAAATTTGAAAATTTTCATCATGCAAATTTTGTTTCATTTTTGCTAATTTTGGTTAATTTTTGGCAATTTTAGAAATTCTGGATAACTTTGGATAGTTTTTGGCAATTTTGGGAATTTCGAAACATTTTTGGTAATTTTGGATCATTTTTAGTAATTTTGGCAATTTTTTGCAATTTTAAAAGTTCTGGATAACTTTTAGCAATTTTTGAAATTTTGTAACATATTTAGCAATTTTGGATCAATTTGGAAATTTTGGATTCATATTTAGCAATTTTAGTAATTCTGGATAATTTTTGGCGATTCTGGGAATTTGCAAACATTTTTGGCAATGTTGGATCATACTTGAAAATTTGAAAAATTTTGGATAATTTTTGGCAATTTTAGTTGGATAATTTTTGGCAAGTTTGGCAATTTTGAATCATTTTTGGAAATTTTGGCGATTTTAGAAATTTTGAAACATTTTTGGGAATTTTGAATCACTTTGGAAATTTGAAAGTATCATTTTTAGTAATTTTGGTTAATTTTTGGCAATTTTAATAATTCGTGACAGTTTTGGATAATTTTGCTGGGAATTCCGAAACATTTTTGGCAATTTTGGATCATTTTTGATAATTTAGGATAATTTCTAGCAATTTTAGGAATTTTGGATCATATTTGACAATTTTAGGTTGTTTTGGATAATTTTTTCAATTTAGAAATTTGAAATTGTTGGATGATATTTCAAAATTTGAAAACTTTGGAACATTTTTGGTAATTTTGGATAATTTTTAGCAATTTTAGTAATTTTGAATCATTTTTGGTAATTTTGGCAAGTTTTTGACAATTTTAGAATTTCTTTATAATTTATAGCAAGTTTGGAAGTTTTGAAATATTTTTGGGAATTTTGGATCATATTTGGATATTTTGGTTCATTTTTGGCATTTAGCTAATTCTGGACAATTTTGGATAATTTTTTGTCAATTTTGGGAATTTTGGAACATTTTTGGCAATTTTGGATCATTTTTGATAATTTCTAGCAAATTTAGGAATTTTGGATTATTTTTGGCAGTTCTGTTTCTAGTTAATTTTTTTTTAATTGTAGTTATTTTTAATGAAAAATCTTCAAATATTATAGGCTGAAAAAACAATTCAGGACATACACAGTGTAAATAATTATAACATTTAAACTATTAGCCGTTATATTCGTCAAAATTATACAAAATATAAAATGCTATTTACACATAATACAATATTTTTTCTCAGATGGATGAAGAAGATCCAGTTCCTGAAATTACGAAAGCCCATTTCGAAGAGGCAATGAAATTCGCCAGGAGATCAGTATCAGACAATGATATTCGTAAATATGAAATGTTTGCACAGACACTACAGCAGTCTCGGGGCTTCGGCACCAACTTCAGGTAAAAATCATACGCCCTTAAACTTTAAGTTGAACTTTAATATATATATATATATATATATATATATATATATTATATAATTATCTATTTCATCAGATAGATTTCCTAATACGAGTTCAACACCGGCTCAAGGTGGCTCAGGATCAGGCAGCGAGCCTCACCCCGGCCAAGGAGAGATCGGTGACGACGACTTATATAGTTAAGTTTTAAAATACATAAGCAAGTTTACATTTGCGTGAACGTGTCCTAGTTATTATGATGATTAGCAGCAACTGACTTATTGATATGAATAAGGATTTTAAAAGCGATTGTGAATGTATTGAATGCTACTACCTACTACATTTATAAAATAATACATTGAAAAGTTTGATACTTTGTCTGATAAGTTGTCTGTATAAAACTTATTGTAACTTTATGAATTTAAAAATATACATTTGGAAAAAAACGTAACAGGATTTTTTTTTTTAAATTTAGATCTAGAGTAGTAAGAAAGTAAATAATATATTCTATTTGTCTAGTAGAAATAGACGGCTTTGGTTAAGAGATTTACATCAGGTTCAATAGTGGCAAAGTGAGGCTGCTTGGGATGGCATCAACACATTTGTGAAAGAAGTTATAACTAGCTGTAAGTGGAATTCTGTCTTAAGGCAATTAGGGCATCGTGCCTTAAGGCAAATGCTGGAACTTCCCGTACCAAAAATTATTATTTTTTTAAAAACGATTAACTTTTTGAAAAATTTTACTTGCAAAAATAAGATTTTTTGAACTGAAAAACAATTAATATTGAGTTTGAAAAATAAAAATTTTACTTGAAAAAATTTTTTTAGAAACTATAAATTGGACAAAAAAGTAGTTTTTTTTGAAAAAATTTTTTTTAAAAACAGATTTTTTTTTTTGAAAAAAAATTTTTTTCTTTATTTTGACATATTGTGGAAGATCTGAACTTTTTTTTTCAAAGCAATCGTACTGCTTTAACTGCATAAGGACAAAAATAAAGCGCGTAAGCGCCGCGTCGCTGTCTAACGCATAAGCATTGGTACGGAACCCATAGGAATGTTTAACAAAATGCATACTTATTGTAAAATCTCTATAAAATATCTGATAATTTGATGTGCATATGTCTAATGATCATTTTTGACCGCCAAATGGCTCATTTTTTTTACTTTTTCCTCCATATCTCCGAAACCGCTAGACCTACCTTCATGAAAATTTGATCAATTCTTCATCTTGTCAATACAATAAAATGTTTTTTGAATTATTAAAATCGGACGCTTTGTTCTCTAAAACTAAGTTACCGTTTTCGGCACTTTTTGCCCCGTATCTTCGGAACGGCTAGACCTGCCTTCGCCAAAAACTAATCAGCACGTCTCCTTATCAATACGAATCGAATGTTTTTTTAATTATTCAAATCGGTTGATCGGTGTTCCCGAAATCGTCGACGAAAATTTGTATCCGCACATACATACACACACGCCATACATACACACACATACATCCATTTTTTCTAAGGTCTAACCTCTAAAACGTAAAGATATATAAACATTTTCATTTTCGATTTTTTGCGATTACTATAACTTGCCCTACGGAAGTTAATAATTAATTATCAGGAAAATAGTTAAGAAATTCTAATTACAATATCGCGCCTTTTCAAATAAACCATATCCATGTTGTTATATTGTCTAGGACCATATCGCCATACTGGTTTGGACAAAAGCGCGAAATTTAAACAGATTTTGATAAACTTGATAAAGTGCGTTTTTATTACATAAAAAATATAATATATAACTAAAACTTATATAAAAATTGTTATCCTGTTATTCATTCTTGACAAAATAATTTATAAGTAAAATCTGTTTTTAAATGTTGAATTTTCGACTAAGGGCAGCCATGTTTGACAGTTAAAAAGTTGATATTTTATTATAAAGTGATTTGTGGCGAAATATCGAAAAGTGTTTGATTTAAGTATATTTGATTGTTATCCTTTGAATAATACTGCTTATTAATTGTATATTTAATATATTATTGTATTTTATATCTTTTAGAGCCCCCCACCACAACGTCTCTTTGGTGACGGCCGATCTGTCACTTGACAATGACAACATAATAAAAAGACATTAGAATTCTAATTTATACAAAAAAATATGTAAAATACTCCTTCGCTTTGCATCGAACAAAGGCGGAGATGTTACCGATAAATAACTTCAACAATACTACGCATATTATAATAAATATCGACGACTCATATAATTCCTAGAAATTAGATATTCTTACAACATCAATCGAACGAAAGTGCCTTCATTCATTATGTTATCGCAACCTTATCACTTAGATATAAGCCAGTTATTTATTTTATACATTGTCATATTTTATTTATGTTAAATGTGTGATTTATGATGGAAGAGAAACGCGTAGCAGACTATTTTGTTGTGCCGGGGCTACCTGATAATCCAGAGCTACTAGATGATAGTATTTTTAGTGAATCGGGACATTTTAAAAGCAGTATTAGCTCAGCACCTATCACAGATATTGCTGTGGTGTTCCCTACACTGGGAGAGACTGTGCCGGAGGATTATATACACTTGGAATACACGCCTTCTGGATTGCCTGCGGATTTGAATCATGGATCTGTACGGTCTCCTGAGGTCTATCTCTGCTATCGGAGGGGAAGAGATAAACCACCTCTTGTCGATATCGGTGAGAAACAAAACAAAATAACAATAGAACAAATTCATGTTTTCAACTATCAATTACTACCACCCAGGTGTGATGTACGAAGGAAAAGAGCGCCTAATGCAAGACGCAGAAGTGATCCTAACCTCTCTCGGAGGCAGAGTGGCAAATGTAAATAATTCAACATCAAAAACCTTCATAACCTTTCGAAGAGCCTCAAAAGATGCTTGCTGCAACAGTTTGGTTGTGACGGATCTGTGTGTTGTTATCCAGAGTAAAGGGGAATATCCGCCTCATGCATTCTGCTTGATTAATAAAAATCTCAATAAGGGAATGATGGGAAGCGATGTTTTCTTGTGTTATAAGAAATCGATGAATAGGCCGAGTCTGATAAGTTATAAACCAGCAGTATTAACAAGGTAAAAGTTATGAAATTTTTATTATATATATTTTTATACATAGTTGTATCTACTTGTTTGCACAGGTGGTTTTTAGACGATGATTAGATGTGATAAGAAATAAATATAAGTATAAATTTATATATATATATATATATATATATAATATATATATATATATACGAGGTGTGTTCAAAAAGTACCCGGAATTACTAATAATTAAATTTCGCGGGTCTGGAGTGTCTGATTGTCAAAATTTTTTTTTTATTGTGTTGGTATACATGGCCCCTAAAGTATGATGAAATTTTCAGCTATATTCACTGTTTTACTTGTCTGTGGTAGTCGCTAAGGTTCGACGTGTTTTTCTGAGCTCGGCGATTTTTTACAATGGAAGAATTGAAAAGTCAAAGAATTTGTATTAAATTTTTGCGTAAAAATGAAATAAAGTGTTGCAAAGTGCAAAAATTTCACCAGATATGGCTCCCTGGTGAATTTTTCCTATTCCAAAGTTGAAGAGACCCATGAAAGGACGGCGGTTTTCCTCGATTGAAGAAAATCGCTGAGAGTGCTCAAGGACATATCAAAAAGTGAATATAAGGGCTTCGAAATTGGAAAAAAACGCTGGCATAAGTGTATTATATCTGGGGGGGGGACTACTTTGAAGGCGACCACATTAATGAACGAATTAAATAAATTTTTTTGAAAAAA